TCTCCAAACCTACCTCTCTCTCTTTCTCTCTGTCTCTTTCTACCCACCTTCCCCTCTCTCCTCTCTCTCTCTCCCAACCTGCCTATAGACAAACTCTATAGAAACTATTGTCTCTAAACAGATTCTATAGATAGAGTAGCCTTTCCAGAGGCTACTTTTTTTTTCTTTTTTTTTTTAGAATGATCAATTTTATGTTTTATTTTTGCTACTACTGGACACCTGAATTTCTCCTTCGGGGGATCAATAAAGTATCTATCTATCTATCTATCTCTCTCTGCCTACCAACATACCTCCCTCTCTCTCTCTCCCTACCTCCCCCTCTCTCCTCGCTGTCTGTCTCCCTCTCTGTCTTCCTCTGCCTACCAACCTACCCCCATCTCTCTCTCTACCTACAAACCTACCTATCAATGTATACAGTATTTCTATCAAAAATGCATTTGTTATAGACTATATTGTATTCTTTCTAACAGTTACATCCTCATATAATCAGACATAGTTCTAAGCCCACAATTTCTATTAGAGAAATACACAGGAAAAATTGAGCAATCCTAAAAATGACACGGTTAAAAAGCCGTCTGTATGCTCAGCTTCAACTACACAGTAGCCGTTCCCATGCTTAACAAATTTGATAAAAGCCAGCGCAGGCACCAAATGAATTCATTCTCACCCCCCCCAGACATGCCAAGTTCGGCAAATTGGGTTTTCTGGGAACAACTCGCACAGTCTTTCGCTGCTAATAACCTCTTTTCACCGTAGAAGTATACCACCTACCAAATACTATTGTAGCATTGTGTCTGCGAGGGAGAAGCAGCGCACGGCGGAATCTCAGTAATTTTGAATAATTTTAGAATAATACAGTGTGATTTTATCCTGGTGAAATTGTAATAATGGAGTTGAAGCTCTTAACAGAAAGTGCATGTTTCATATAACCCACTCTGGAATATGCCTTTAGTAAACTGTGGCATCTATAGACGATAGTGGAATATTCATTTGTTTTCTTTACTTTTCAATCTCCAACAGATAAACAAGTCAAGTAGCCAAGAGATTCAGTAAACATGTCTTACTACTGTAGCAAAAAGATGAAACCGGTGTCTACATATGTGATGGATGAATATATGTATATCGCCATCTCAGGCATTTTGGCTCCTTTTGGTGTGTGTAGCGATCTGCGGCTATGTTAGCAAATTCAAATGTGCTCGGCTTAACGCAATCTTGTTCTTCTATGAAAAAATATTTAGATCAATAGAGGCTTCAAGTAAGATAAGAGAAAGATTTGAGAAGTATAAGATGAGATCACCTTTCTTCATCTCCCTCAGTGTACATGTAGAGACAAACCCTGTATAAAAAATACACAATAACGATCCGGGGGGGATGGATTGTAATTACAGAGCAGACTAAAGTGCAATGTGCCTTATTTAAGTTATAGCTTTTTCTTAAACAAGGGCTCAAAGCATAAACTTAACACTGAAACTCTCAGAGCAGTCAATTTTTTTAGTTGTAACTACACTTCCAAAACTTCAAGCCGTCATATTGACTCTATGTTTGTCAGTTTTCATCATCCTAACTTTGTGACTTTTCAGTCTCTGTATGTAATTCTTTATGGTTCTGGATTGGTCCTGGATTGGTCCTGGACTGGTTCTGAGCCAAGTCATCCTGATTTTTCACTCGAAAAGAGCGAGTGCTAGGAACCCATAGCAACACACTGTTTACTTGCAGCAGTTAGCATTTGGTCTCAGGCATTAGCATTTTAACAAGTTATTTTTTGCTGTATCTAAAGTTATATTCACCAGATTTAGCACTTATATTGAATAAAGTTATAAACAAAATAATTGCATTCAATTGAATTGTAGCAGTAGTTGCAAAATTCTGGGAGTCATGGTGATAACGAAGCCCCAAAACTTTACTTTCCTTGCTTTCTCTTCCGTCTCTTTCCAACTCACTGCTTGTGTTTGCAACTGAAGACATCAAACCGGGCACAAAGGGACCTCCTGTACTTCTGGCAATGCGTGGCTATGTTTTGGTAACGTCTCAAAGCACCAAATGTTAGCAGGATACAATAAACCCACTCCCCCCCGACTGCTTGGCACTGCTGGGACTGAACGCCTGCAAGTACGGTGAAGCCACACAAAATTCATTGGCAAATTTATGCGGCACTAAATGTCAGCCCAAATTTGTATCCGTGTCCCAAATTAGAAGTTGCAAATGTTTTATTGATGGCTTGCTTGGCGGAGTTAATGTAATGAACTGAACTGCTGAAAGGTTTCGCAAACACAGCGTTGCCGGCAAAGTTGGCAAGGCACTCAAATTTGACTCTGGGGTCAGACTTTGAGCTGAGTGGAAGCTTCCAATCCATCCGTGCAGCGAGTGAACGTTCAGATGTTTGTCTAGCGCTTGTCTATTTTTGGCTCGTTTTCTCCATGGAACTCAAGAGGGCGAGAGGGGCTTTGCTGGGAGAAGACGGATCAAAATACACAGAGAGCAGAGATTTGATTGCTTGCTATTGTCTGAAATGATATGGTTACAGAATCTAATTTGAGGCTGTACAACTGTCATGGAGATAAGGAGACTTTTCAGTTACACAAAGAAAAGGCGTATTATGTATTGATCAGTTTGAGTTTCTCCCTCACTGATGCAGAAGAGGACAGAGATGATCCTGGACATTCAATCATGATAATAATAATAGTAATTCTTTTTATTTCATGGCGCCTTTCAAGACACCGAAGGACGCCTTACAATATTAAAAACGTCACACACAATACTAAAAGTACAGAATCGAATACATTTTTACAAAAAAATACACTGAATAAGCCAGTTTAAAAAGGTACGTTTTGAGATGTTGGGTTAGGGATTTGATAATGTTGAAACTGGATTCTGTGGCTTATGGGGAGCCAGTGGAGTTGGATAAGAACCGGAGAGATGTGCTCTATTGATTTTGTTTGGCTAATGATCCAAGCATCAGAGTTATGGACATGTTGGAGAAGTAGAATGTGTTTTTGGGGTTATCCATTTATGGACATTGGTCATCCCACTACCCTCTCTCTCTTAAAATCACAATCACATAATGAATAATGAACCATCATAGCTAGCAGTGCATAGTCATATATAACAGGTGTGCATACAGAATTCCTTATTTTTCTTTCTTTGTTAAGGACTAATAGCTACTCGTGACTAATGAAGCCCTAGTGATTCCCGTACGAGCCGTCACGCTGTTTTATGGACAGTGCTCGTCTGTAATTTACAGTAAACTAAACCACTGCTTCCAATCTCTTAGTTGTGGTCCCCTCAACATGGGTCGAGCATAATGGACTGCAGGGGTGGGAAAATGGTGGAAGCGCATGAAAACTGAACGTAATGCATATCATATTGAAGACATAGAATCATCGCTAACCTACATTTACACATTTATCCCGCACCCTACAACAGATCGGACAATAATAAGAAGTGTGTATCTCTAAATGTCCATAAATGTACTTAAATGTCTACTTCATAGTCATTGGTCCATCAGATCAATCTAGGCATTTTTGGTTGTCTCAAAAAATCTCTATAAACTGGATCATCCCATGTCCTTAGACCCTCCAGCATCTGCAAGGAATAACTCACCCAACAAACCCATTGAGACTTCTACCACACCTTATCGACATCTATCTTTTCGGTTCTTTTATTCCCCTTTTTGATCCAAAACCACTTCATATCCATTTAAGCTGCCGTTATTCAACATCTCACTTAATTTGATCTACTTCATGAGCTGAAATTGCCCCTCAGGGAAAGTTCAAAAGACGTATTGATATATTGGATACAGGGCCTTTAATCATATTTCTGTATCTGCAAATCCACACTCAATCCAAATCAACTTCAACCTTTATCCCTCTTGACACACGACGCACGTTACGGCTTTTGATTGGCTCCATTGCTCTCATTCTTGTTTGACTCATTGCATTATACTCTGAAGGCTTGGCATGTCAGACAGGCGCACTGACGAAATGATAAACGTACAAATGTATCCACGAGTCTAATAAAAGTCAGCGGTGGAGAGGTTGATTCGTGCGACCGAGAGAATAAGTGTGTAGTAACAATAGAGAGAGCTTTTTACGGCATCACTGTTTTTCAATATACAGGATTTACCGCTCATAAGGCTTTTATGCGGCCGCTGACATTTAGCAGGGCGTCTTGTCTGTGAGGATTACACAACAGTGATAAGATCCGGCTCTTGAATCGCTTTTTAAAAATGCTTGAAGATGATTATGTGCTCTACCAGGTAAGCTGCTTAAAATACATGCGTTGATAGGGTCTTTGTCTTTTAATAATGATGCGGTTTCATATAGCGCACTCAAAAACGCTTCATATGTCCTTATTCATTCACTACACACACACATTTGTGATTAACTACTTCTGTAGCTGTAGCTGCAGCTGCCCTGGGGCACAATGGCAGAAGTGAGGCAGAAGTTGGTGGCCGCTTTGACCACCAACAACCTGTCATATCATTCTAGGGAATGTTGGTGACAGTTTGAACTGTGCGGTACAAAAAAAGTTGCCTAATCGTAGCAACTGTACTATTTTAACCATCAGGTTTTTAAGTATTTTCAATTATTATGTTTTATGGTATTAGACTTGGCTTTTGTCTATATACATCTGGAAAGATTGGTTTAATGAGACCTTTGTCCACGAAGAAGAGCTGAAATTATTTAATAAATGTTTCGATTCATACATCGTTATCTTTATGCGAAAAACAACTGCATTAATTCTGGCGTGCTAAGAGGATTTTCTGAAATGTTAGGAGAGAACCCCCCTCCACAGAGGGAATGCCTATTCAACCATGTCTCGCATACCACTAGAATGATTGACATATAGATGTCTAGATGATCCACTCGGAAGAAGAAAATCCTGCCATTTAGCGTAATTTCACACCCTTTAAACCCTAGTTTAGGAAGTCGCTAACTTACTATTGTCTGGTATAGAAGGACCAAATATCTTTATACCATCAAACTCTGTTAATCCAGCGAATGCAGGTGTTTGCCCAGAGAGATTGGTAAACGGCTTGTTCCTTGTTCTTATATAACTCTGACCAGCTTCTCCTGCTGACAGCTCATTCCGTAACCTCTGCCGCTTGTCCAGACGTTACACACTCAAAAAAACTGACGTGACATGAGACGGCGTGTATACCTGACCTTTGGAGCTCGCGGATCACTGTCAGCGCCGCAGAAGGCTTTGACAATCTTCAGTTTGTACTTCGACTCATAAAACTGAAAGTGTAACCTCGCAAAGGCCTGTTGTGGAGTGTGGACGGCAATGGAAAGAGAATTTACAATGTTTTTTGTGTCTAACCAGTCTAAAATTGATCCATTTGGTTATGTAAACATGTAGAAATGAGACAGCTGGAAGAGGAAGATTGCTAACAGCTGTTGACGCCAAAATTGCTGCTGTATTTAAACTACAGCGTTGGTTTTATGATCACAAGAACAGCTGAGTAGAACCAAAGCAAAGATGTTTCTAGATCCATCCATGCTAATATCAGAAACTAAAGCTCGTGTCTCAGTCCTGTAACAGTATGATGTCATTTTACCACTATGACATCACACTCAGAGCAGTTTTATGCCTTTAACAACAAAAGTAGATATTTTAAGATGTTTTTTGTTTCACCTGAGAGAAATAACCAATGACAAAGTAAATAATGCATTACGTTCCTCGCTGATGCAGACAGGTCTAAGAACGGTATTGACATGTATGAACATTTCTGGACAATGGTCATCCCGCTTCTTAAGCACTAATGGCGTCCATGTGTTAGTAATGCATATCCTGTGTTGGAACTGTTTAATTATCTGATTTGTTGTTGAGAAATAGATAACGTTGTAAAGTCCCCTGACATTTCCACATAACCTCAATGTGCTACAGATTAAAATGTGATACAAATAGACACAAAAAAAGATCATAAAAGTCCTATATATCAAATAAAAAGGGTCAAAAGCTCATTAAAGTCCGATCAGGCCAACTGAAATGCATTGAATTTGTAAGCTTTCACATTCTCGGTATCTTCCTATATATTCCAATCCTTTTAATTTCTATGTCTAAATCTTGGCCAGGTTTGGAACAGGTCCTCCTCTCGCCTCTCGCCTTCACAGATGCATGCCTCAGCGCTGCACTTGGAAGCACACGCTGTCGAAGCACATCAACACGTCAAGCATGAGGCTCACGGAACACTGCGCCATCAACACGGCCCCTCTGCTCCAACGGCGGCTGCTGCGAACGCTACTGAAGGGCTTTGATATTCGCCATCACCTGCTCCAAACTAAGGAGTTTTTGTGAAGTGTGTAGTAAGTAAATAAGTAAGTAATTTTTTTTTTTATATAAGCGCATTTTACAGATCAAGGTCACCTACAGCGCTTGCATCTTTCTGTGAAGATTTTACAAATATTTCCTATTCAACTCAATTAATTTTTTTTTTTTTTTTATCTTTGGGGACGTTACAAAACCATCAAATTCGCCACTGGTGAATCAATCTCAGAAGCTAAATTTAATAATTTTTTTGTAGAATTGGACTTAATCAACATTTATGGACATTGGTCATCTGCCCCTAATGGACCAATGGCTCTATGTGTTTGTCATCATTGCAATTTTTGTGTTTGATCTGTTTGATTCTCTGATCTGTTGTTGGCAAATTCTACAGTTTTTTTCCTCTGTGATAACAAGTGTTGTGATTAAGTGACAAAAATAAAGGAAATTGAAGAGTACATATTTATTAAATCTTCACAGAAAGTTGCCTCTATTAGAATAACTAAATCCCCAAATCATCAACACAATCCAACTTTTCCACTGCGAAATCCCTCCCTCTTCGCTGCATCGATTGCCCTTGAATCTTCACACTGATATTTTCATTTCACAGTTATTCTTTCATTAAAAGCCTGGATTTTGGCTTCTGCGTGACGTCCGTTGGGTACAGTAAATCGAGCGCGCCGAGCTGTGAAGGCTGCATACTTTCCATTCTTTACCCATTTTGAAAGACGTACGGCCCAGAATATGACCATAAAACACTATCAAGCTGTTGAAACATGCATCCATAATTCTCCCATCGCCACCTGATAAAACAACAGCGGATTCCAACTGTTCTCGTCCGTCCTCCATCTTGGAACATATGTCTTCTCTCTGGATGAGCACACGGCTAATGCATTGTGTGAATGAATAGTCCCAGTAGGTCCCGGTTTGGCCGTGTGGATTTTGGAAGGAATTGATTGCGGGTTAAAAGAAGACAGCTGCGAGCCCTTTCGAGGAGTTTACAGCGGCATATCCAGGATGACTTCTGCTTTTATGGGTCCCACTATAGCCGTAGCCGACCCCTGAGAGCGGCGTTGAAATATTTGTGGTTATGGATCAACTGTAAATGGAAGACGAAGGGGACTGCAGGCATGTGGAGTGGCAAAGGCTGGGTTTGGGAGATGAAAGAAGGCGAACGGCAAAGTGCTAATGAGGTTCGAGTTTGTGAGCATATGTCAGGAATGTGTTCCAAGATACATTCAAGAGCTAGAAATTCTGGTTATGAAATGGTGTCGTGATATGGCAATGTAATTGAATCAGAAATGTATCGGATAACTGTGAAATAGGCTTTGAAATTGGTTTCTGAGTGGTTAGCATTCTCGCTTCTCGGTAAGAAGGTCCTGAAGGTCTTTCCAAGATATCTAGAGGGGTGTAAAGATTTGTACACACAGGATACAAATCAAAATGAAAGGAGAATAATGAAACAAGGACTAAGAGCAGCAGAATCCAAACAGCACAATTCACTTCTGCACTAAAACCACTAGTGCACGGTGGCTGAGTGGTTAGCTTTCTCACTACGCAGTAAGATGACCCAGGTTTTCAATCCCGCTCTGGTTAACCGTAACCACAAAAAAAAGTGCAATAGGTAAAATCCAGCTTTGTCACCCTTCACGTGACATCACAACATGCCAAAAAGTCTATAGTTTAAAATTGTGGAGGAGGTTAGCTGAAAAATTGTGCCCAGTAACAATAGTGACTGTCAAAAATCAGGTTTCACGTAGTTTCAGATGTTTTTTGTCAGCACATATCAACCATGCTCTATACATTTTCTAAAGAAAGGTGTCTAGAAGTGGTGAAAATATTTAGATTTTGGCCAGGAGAAAGACCTCCAGACAAAAGAATAATATGGCAGGTTTGTGAATCAATCAAATAATGAGCTGGGAAAACGTTTGGACATTTTTGTCTTCTTCTAAATTAGTTCCCAATTTTTGTTCCCATAGATTTGTAATTAGGACCTGCCCTACATCTTTAATAAAGTCGCACAATGCAATCTCACACATTCACAACGATGTGTGAGATTGATATTTGCCACAAACGCAAGAAATTAAATGATTTTGTTATAGTTCTAATATATCTCATTTCTTTCACAATACACAAAAGGATTTTTCAATACGTGATTTATATTCACTCTCCACACTCCAGAACTAGCTTGGGGCTGAGTGTCCAAGACCTGACGACTATCGCTGGCCAGATAGGAACAGATTTTATCCACGGATGTTTTAATTTCCTTACACTGACAACAGACGGCCTTTTTCCAGAACCTGACTGGAGTCTCGAAACTACAGACAGATGTCCCAGTGCAGCAGGCGCAGACAGATGGAGATTTTGCCCGGGGCTCGCAACATACAGTAAAAGAGACAACTGGACAGGGAGGAGGGAGCCTTCACACAAACTGTTAGCCCAGAGAGGAAGCGAGAGGGTCGGGCTGTGAAGAGCAGAGCCAGGCTTCCAGAAGATTGATGAGAGATGGGAGAGGAACTATCCCAGCATCAAAATAGAGATTGAGAAGGATAAGTATATGGGTTTTGTGAATAGGTGGGAGGGGACAAAATCTCAGGATCATTTATGCACTTTTTATTACCGTTATTGCACAAAAGTTACTCTAAACGTCACTTTTTAAACATGTTTGCACATTTCCTGTCTTTTTGTGATGCTATTTATGCCAAATGTATATCTCAACTGTGAGATCAATAAAGTTTTTTCTTTTCTTATATTGTTACTAATATTACAAATCTTGCTTATTTAGACCCTTCCTTAGTTCTTGGTGGGGTTGGATTTTGTTCAGTTATATTGTGTTCATTAGTTGAGCCCAAATACTCGTTATATTTTGGAAATCTGTTACATTATAGAACTAGTCCTCACCTGTCCTCACCTTATGTTTGGTCCATTACGCAGTGGCTTGTAGGAGGATACTATCCAAATCCTTTCTGGGCAACCTCATAAATGTTGTGCTCCAGAACAAAATAATACATTCAAACTCGAGAAGACTTTATCGCGTCTTGTTTGCAAAGCCCATCTCCCGACGTCCATCTCACAGCATGAATCCAATCTATTAATACGTATAGATATCTGTTTGCAGGGACAGCGGGCCTCTCTGGGAGTGGGAGCAGACAGGCAGAGCGGTGCTGGCAGGATTGTGTGTTCCTCTGGGCTTGCGAAGCTTGGACCCCTGCCACCCACCTCCTCCACCACCGCCACCGCCGCCGCCGCCGCTCCCCCCGGATGGTGCATGTTTCTCAGCCACCAACAGACACCCTGGCAGCTTGTTCCTTTGATGAACAACCAAGTATTACGAGGTTTTTTTCCCGCTGTATTGTTGGGAGATGCGTGCCAGCTAGACGACAATGATCAGAGCACTTCATTAGCGGCGATGCTAGGTTAAGCTACGTTCTTTGGAAGGGTATGAGGAGGCTGGCTGGGAGCCTTGACGTAGCATATTGCAAGAAGCAGGAACACGTCGGAGAAGTGCTTATTGGCATCTGTAAGTGTGAACTCATTGCTATAAAAAGTGTATGGAATATTCACATACTTCTGCCAATGTTTCACAACTTTTTAAACTTTTCTGATTGACGCCAAATATGAATCTCTATAGAAATATCTTTGCTTTGCCTGGAATAAGGTTGGACAACAGTGCAAATGGTTAGGGGCACTGTTTTTTAACATAGAAAATAATTTAATGTATTTTTTGCCCTAAATAATAACAGCAGTCGTCTCAGAGTAACAAACACATAGGAGACATTGGTTCACAGGGAGCGAGAATTCAATGGAGTTAGTATACTGTATAATGTATAAGAAGCCAAACAGCCCAGCAATTTAAGACTACTAAACCGGGTCTAAATCTGTCTCTGTTTCCATTTCTGTGTCTGTGTGTTCCAATCTTCTGGAGGTACAGAAGAATTTCACTGCTTGTAATGTGTATGCGATAAACAATAATGAACTAAAACTAAGTTAAACTAAACTTTCGATAGCGCTCTACCAACCAGAGACATTTAAGATATTTTGGGAGATGTTTAACTAAGTAAAGTTTATCGCCCCTTTGTGTATCTGACCTTGTTCTACTGGTGTTATGTGTTTATCTCATTGGAGAAAGACATTGTGTGGAACATTCTAGACATTCTATAAGATATAACAAACAATAGTTTTGAGGCACCTGGAGAACTGCAAAGTACACCTTAAAGTGAAATGCTCTTCCAAAAACTATATATATGTTCACAATCCCGGCATTCTACGACAAACCAATTCTTGGGCTTAACATACCAGATATCTTTTTCTGTTTTCATCAATCATACTCTTCCCTGTGTTCAAAAAAGACATACATTGATCGTTGGAAGTACTGAAAGAGAAAAAGACGGCCAACTGGGACAGCGGAGATTGCAGAGCCGGGGGAAGCAGAAGGTACAGCGACAGGGGTGGACACATTTGGCAAACAAAAACCTTCTCCTCCGCATAACCTTGGGACGCCATTGGGGACGACTGGTGTGTTGATGAGAATGAACAATGGTAAATGTGCTGTCAGAAGAAGCTCAGGGCAGAGGGGAGCCGCCGTTTGCCAATATGGAGATGGTAAAACAACAATGGACCATATTGATGACACTGGGTAGCAGTATTAGCAGCGGAGGAAAGGGACGGGTGGAAAAGCATTTGATATATATGTGTGTGTGTGTGTATTTGTGCGTGTTTGCATGTGCCTGTGTGTAATCTTTATTTATACAGCGACTTTAACAGATAAAGTCACAAAACGCTTCATATTTGTGGGCAAACATGAGGTGCATGCCGGACCTTTTCTACATATTTTTAGAAGTAGCAGAAACCCATCGCAGCACCCGGAGGAAACCTATGCAGACATGGAGAAGGAATCAAACACAGGACCTTCTTGGTGTGAAGTACAAACACTAACCACTGTGCGCCACTGTATGTGTGTGTGTGTGTGTGTGTGTGTGTGTGTGTGTGTGTGTGTGTGTGTGTGTGTGTGTGTGTGTGTGTGTGTGTGTGTG